AGATAATCTTCTAAGCGGGTAATGTACAAATTTTAAGTCATTAAGTTGGAAGAAATAAAGAAATAAGACCCATTCAATCTTAACTGGATTTTTATTTGAGACCTAACAGAATAACTAATGTGTAGAGCTTCTTAGGGTATGAGGATAAGAATACGGAAATTTAAAACAGAATTGTAACTTTATCATATATCTTAGAATAACTTAAACACGATACAACTCAATGCAAGCAATAATAACAACTGACCATTTGTCGAGATCAAATAATTTTCAAAACTATTTATTTCTATCGCATTACTGCAGAATAATTACTTTTTTTAGCTAGAAATTTCGTGTATGCATAAGGCATAGCTTATCATTAGAGTGGGCACAACATAATGTATGAATTACAGACTGGGTGTTTAAAATGTATATAATTATATGAAGTTCCTTTTCGGTTATGACAGTATTTACGAAAACAAACTGTTAATATCACTCAAAATTCATAAAGAATTTGAATATTACATAAGTTAACAAAAAACGTAAAAGGTGGATTAGGTTACAGTTCAGGCAAAACATGTGTTGAAGCAATCTAATTTTGGCCAAAAAAGAGCAAAAATAATATTTTTAGTTTTTAAAGCAGAAACTTAGGGTTTCTATCTCAAGAAACTATACTTTCGCGTGACTGTTATTGTTCGCCAAGAGTGAACAAAATAAAAAGTTATTCGTTCTTTCTATGCTTTTGCTTGATTTAATTATTAAATAATAACAACAACAGAGTAATAATCAAAGATATAAGTATGAAAAATGTATGAATATAAATATCACCGATAGCACCCCATTCAAATGCTATAAATATCATCTGATTAATTTTGAACTTTTTACTACCAGCTATCTATTATAGAGCGAAGATTCAGAAAACAGGTAATAATATTGCTGCAACTAATTACTTAACTCTCTTAAAAGGATATTACTGTCAGCAATTTTGATAGTAGTTAATCAATGTAGCACTAAATGAAGCGTTCGTGACTCTACATACGAACACAAATTTCCATTGAAATAAAAAATTAAAAATAACAATTATCTTCGATATGTTTTATTTTTCTATACAGCTTCTTAAGAAGTACTTTTATTGAAATTTTATTCAACAAAACGATATTACATTTACTAGTTGAACATGACATGATAATGTGTTCGTGGGCTGCGTATCATAAGGGTTCAAGGATCGAGCCGCAGTATGCCGCTGAAAATGTTTCACACTTTTAGTTGTGGAGGTATTATAACAATGGCAAACAATCCTGTTATTCGGTTAGGAGTAGCTGCACTGATATCGAGTGCTCATGACCGCTTGCCCTTTCTCTCTCTGGTCATAGGTTCTCATGGACAGTTGTACCTGAATATGATGTGTGTCTCTGACTTGGCCGCTTAGCCTATTTGTCACACAAGCGCCATTCAGGTTAAAACACCAGATATCAAATTACTTTCACACGAAACATGTTTTGTATGTTTCATGTAGTTTAGCACTGCTACTTATTGGAGTAACATAGTTGTTTGATGTATTATCTGGGTTTAATGTACGCTACTCATTCTAAAAGTTACATAAATAATTTGAGAAATGCTATTAGTGTAATTTAGCTTCATGTCACTGCTATTTTAGAATATTATAAAATAAAAGACTTTAGAAAGTTTATAGTACAGTCTAGTTTAGTTATTAGATGTTTTCATATGTGCATCTTTTGAAATTAAAGTTTTTATAATTTTAATAATGACAGGCTGTTGTTTCTCGACGTAAATGTATTGTTGTACTTAATTACCACGTGCTCCTTTATTTCTACTCATTTTAATGTAAATAGTACTTTTTAACACAGATGCATCACGAGTAATGCAATTAATATTAGGTAATCTATTATTAGACATTCATTCACTCTAAGTTATGAAGTTTAGTCTTATTTGTATTCAAGTACATTATGTTTTCGAGGAACGTTCGGACACATCACTGACATATTATATTTGAAATTATACATGGAATATCTCATGTTGGAACAGTAATGAAGCAATCAATTGTCTCACGTGCTGGCCATTTTAAGTATTTTGAACGTGAAAATATTCCGTAGACCAAACTGATAATACAGTAGACTCTTCTTAAATTAATGATATATCAATAAAAGAGGAAACTTAAGAAATCATCATAATCAAACAGTTTTTGCGATCGAAAATTCATTTCTCGACTATTTTTGTTTTTTCCAACTGTATCGCAAATTTAGAAGACTGTCAAAAATGAATTATGATATGAAAGAGTAATCTATGCGAACTAAAACTTTGAGTAAATATGAACAACAGCATGTTTTGTTTTGAAGAATTTCTGATGCATGATACAAAAGATGTATAGGGGAAGACAGGTGAGTATTAAAAAGAAATTTTATCTGTACACGTTTAATTTTTTGACGTGATTATAAACTTAGTGATCGAAATCTGTTCGTTGGATTAAGTACCTTAAAATTTCGTGTTTAAAAAAGCATTTTTATCAAAGATGTTGGGAAGGATAACCGGAAACCCATTCATACTTATGTTTTGCCGAATCTATATATCTAAACATGAAGCGGATGTACAGTGGAGACTAATGCAAAGATACACTAGCTTCCCTACTATGTTAAAGTGAATAAATAGGACTGAAAATGAACCTATTTCAGTACAACACTTGGGTATTAAGTGACATATAAATTTTACTTTTGTGTTTGTTTTACAAATGACCTTTATTAAGCATAACTTATAAAGTGTATTCAACTATCTTAGGAAATGTATATATAAATATTTGTAATTTTATTGTTAACCTTAGACATATATATATATATATATTACACACCACTGTCTTTTTAATTGTTTTATGTGCGGCTTGTATCTCACACTAATAATTGTATATATATATAGTTATTAGTGTTAGATACAAACCGTACTTAAATCAATTCAAAAGACAATGGTGTGTAATTTCTTTAATAGCCTGAAATCACGTATTATGTTAGAATATTTGTGGGCTAAACAAAATGGCGAATTAGAACTCTTGAATCAAGAATTTTGAAAGATTATTATAGATCGAAATATTGTGAAATATTGTTGTCTTGAATTATACTTGTAAAATAATAGTTTGATTCTTTCATCGCAAATTTCTAAAACTTTCCATCTGAGATTTTGCAATTATCGGTTTGAGGTTGCTGATGATCGATCCATTCTAAATATGTGTATGTAATATTTACTTATAGATATTACGTAAGGTATAATGGTAATACATACTAGTGATTTTGTGAATATGCAGTAATAAATGTTCTTTTGTATATGGAACTTCTAACTTCTAGCCTGGTTCTCTTAATGACAAAAGTATAAAACTTGAGGATAAACTTGAATAAATGTGTGAGTGCACACAAGTAAACTGTAGCGTGGATACGCTTAAAGAACCCTTTACAGTATGGTTCTTTAAGAGCATAAGTTCTTTGTCCCTTTTAAGGACATGAAGTTAAAATATATTTAGTTCATGCAAATGAACTGAAGGAGAAACAGAACAAAAAATGTAATTGTAATAAGCTTGCACTTATTATTGCTGCTTAAGATAAAATTACAGTTTGTATGTTTTGTTTATGAATTGTTATGGTGCACTTCTGTATTAAAAATTTGTATTTGAAAAGTTACGTTTCGCTGGGAGAATTTGTTTTTAAGATTACTATAACTAGCATCTTAACTTTTCTATATGTGTTAATGTTGTTGACTTACCACTAAGTAACGAAAGAGCTAGTACGAATGATGCTTTTTCTCTTGGTTTGATTTAATACCGATAGTAAGGCTTTTGTTTTTAAGTGGTTCAACTGTAAGTATGCAGGCTTAAGACATTAGAAATCGAGTTTTGAACCGGTGGTAAGCAGAGTATAGATAACCCATTGTGTAGTTTTGTGCTTAATAAAAAACAAACCAAACTAAAGTAAGTTTTTTAGCATTTTCCAACTATTCGTACGAAACTTATAAATTCAAACTAACTTATTTAGACCACAAAGGTCATTGTATTTGTACTAAGTGTTAAGTACCTTTGAAATATAGTTTGTACTAAAGAAAACAAATTATATAGAAAAATTATCAGGCATTATAAACAAATTTTCCAAATTTCCAATGATGATTTTATAACAATATGTTTGCCGAATTTTTCTCGTAGTTTCAATAACACCTCTTGACGCGCATACAAATCAGATGCTTTAAGTTAAATATCAGTAATTACTACAAAACATTGTAAGCTTTAGTAAATTGCCATATGAAATATAAAAGTAAACATGAATTTTATAAATAATAAAAAGTAGGGTTGAAAATACTTATTTTGTTCCAAGTAGAGCCATGAAAGTGTAAAAACAATCTGTCTGAGAAATGAAATATAATTTTATTGAAGAATGAATGCTCTGGGCTATAGCAAGAAGGAAAAAACAAAAAGCTACTATCTGCTTCTGATAAGACAATTCTCTTTTTGAAGTTTATATATTTTTAGTTTTAAGTGATTTTAGTGAAGTTGTAATTTGTCTAAGACTTGATATCTTATTTAATCTATTCTTTCTGAATTCGACCAATTTATAAAAAAAACTCCAAGCAAGTAAGAAAGCAAAAAAAAACAATCTTGGTTTAAAAAAGTTCTTCCCATCATTAATTCTGGACAAGGACAATCCCAAAATGGAAGAAAAAAACTTTCTGAATTTTTTTTAAATTTAGGTTATTTAGATACTGATAATTTTAACCAAAATGACAGGATTTTCTTCCAAGACTATTTAGTTTTATTTAATAACGAAATTCTTATTCTAACGGATATATAACTGACACTTTTCAACAACTTTCTAATAAAATTTTCTTAGATATCTGCCAAGTGCAATATATAGTATTGATTTCAAAGAATATTTCTCGTACTACATCTACATACAAATACTTTCCGTACAACCTTGCAAACAAATATTTTTGGAACAATAAGTGTAACGTTGAAATTTCACATTTGCAAATGACAGGTATAAGAAGTTACTGCTGATAAAGAGTCACGTGATCATGACAAGCTGCTATGAAACTAGATGAAACAGACCAAATAATAGACGTACATGAGCACGTGGTAACGCTGAGCATTATGCACCTGAACCATAGGTAGGGATATTCTAAAAAAAACTTGTTGAGAGTAGAAGGCTTACATTCAGAAAAAGTATATATTTTGTCATTGAAACCATCCATTAATAAACATATTCACTATTTTGTCTATTTTCCTTTGATTTCTTAAAAGCTTTAAAAAATAGAGATGGAAGTGTTGTTTTTTCTGCTCAACTCTTTTTACATGTAAAAATGTTGAAGATTAAAAGTTAAAAAATACAGAAATAAATATTTGAAACAGAATTGGAAACATTTTAAAATTTATTCTGAAAGAAAGTTGTCTAACTGAATGATTAATGACAATGGTGTAATAGCCATTATTGAAGTATTTTATTATTTCGACTTAAGCCCCGGTAAGATTCTTATATATCTGCATAGCTTATCCCTTCCCACAATTCGCATAATAACAACACATAACACAGTTCACACGTTTCCATTAATCATCGAGTTGGACGTGTGTATATATATATATATATTGTATATATATATATACGCATTACTGAATTTCCGTTTTTTTTATAAAAATAGTGTGCTTATTTTCTTATTATCATTTTATGGTAAGATAAAATAATGTGCGAAGGTTTAATTTATTAAAGACGCCCCACCCACTCTTGTGATGATTCTACCCTCATAGTGAATAGGCTGATCCACTTTATACACCCGGCAACTGGGGTTCCGCAGAGCTGCTAATATCATTCGCAATCATCATTCGTCCTCCTTCTTCGGTTTGGATGCAACTCGGGTTCCACAGTCTGCTTTGTTGCAGATGGGCTCTGGAAGAAGGAGACAAATATCTATCAGAAACTGAACATTTTGTTTGTTTGAGAGGTAAGAAAAATTGATGTTATACATTAACTCTTTCATTTAAGTAAGAATATGAAAACCCAACTGTCATAATGTTTTGTGTGAAACTATTAATAATTGGTTAATATTATCTATTTCTTAGTTTTTATTAACACCTATTATTATCTAATTCTACGGTATTACAATATAACATACCATAATTCACTTGCTTTTTATGTATATCTGTTTTATAATTTAAACGTTCATGAACATATGTATGTAATCAAAGTTTCTCATGTTTAAATGTTAGACTTAAAATACAAAAGAAATAAAACAGATTTACGTCTAATCTCTATTCATTTGTTGTCCATAAGTTACAAAGCAAAACATAAAAAATGTGCTGTGTAGTACTTCGTAAACTTTAGACTTTCCTTACATTTTAATTGTATAGGTAGAAAGCATATTTTGCTCTTGTTTACGGGTTCTATATGTTCAATTATCCAGCAAAGTTTTTATCCAAAACAAATACGGCACTTGTATCAACAAAACTGAAAAAAAATATGCTTACATCTCACCTCATAATTTCATAAAAGATAATTTCAACCTTTTGGTCTTGAGAAAGTAATATTTTTCTATTCTATTTTTACATAAGTAAGACAGAACAATTTTAAATTATAGAGATTTTTGATGCTATTTACAGATCTTTAGGTTCCATAGGATTTTGTTTTATCTGCAGCTTCCTTCTAAGAAAATATGTTACAATATTTAAAGTAAGAAACAAATGCCATCATTTTAAGCAGATGAAATAAGAAAGACCAAACTGCATTGAATGCCTTTTGAAGGAGCGCTCAGCGTGTGATTTGTTAATTTGTATCGTTTAAACTTTAGGTCATTGTTTATATCAAAAGTTAAATTAATTAGTTGATATGTGCTCAGAGATGAAAAAATATTTATATGTGGATTAGAAATAAAAAGATATTGTTAATAATAAAGATCATTAGTTTTATGTTTTGTTTTGATATTAACTAAAGATCATTGTTGATATGTTTCTCTTAGAGATGAGAAATCATTTATCAAACATGCTTTTAGTGTAATGAACAATGAATGTAATATATCAAAGATTTGGTAATGTAAAACAGTTTTGATGAAGAACAATAAATTTGTTCAAATTTTTGAATTAATTTTGATGACTCTTCAATTTATGTATTAAATAGATTACTAACTTTAGTTAAACTATTGTATTTGGTGTTTTTAAACGCATAACCTATCAGGTAATCAACTAAATTTACTTTCTTTACAAAATTGAATTTTTAGAGTTAATTTACAAACTAGTATATTGCTGATTTGTTTTTTAGAGTAACAGTGAACTAAATTTTACACAGAGAGTTCACAAATTGTAACAAAATAAGGTAATCCAAGTATTTATCTTGTAACTTACAAATTTTCTATATGACCATTAATTGTTTATATTGAGTAAAATGCACATTTGTTGGGTTAATCTTGTGTTTCTGTTTTATATGTGTTTTATAAGAAATCAATCAAGATGAAACTGAATTGCATCTCGAGAAGCAGAAAAAAATTATCAGTCTTACATAAAAACTTAGTGTATTTGTTCCTGTAGCCTAGTAAAAAGTAATAAAAGTTGAATGCATGCTTTTGAATAATTTAATCCTTTGCCACTAGTTCTTTTGAGAATATTGGCACTTGGAATATTAGTTGTTTTTGGTAGGCAAAGCTAATAGAGGGACTTTAAAAAAAGGTACAGATCATGATAAATTGCTGATCGGGACCGCTTGAACATAAAAATTTATTGAGCGTTACACTGGCCTGCTGTAGATGTTATACTGTAAATCAAAAATTACAGTACTGTATCATATGAAAGATGATGACCAAAAGTATCTAACACAAAATCACCAATAGTAAAGTTATTCTAACACTTCACAATTGTCGTTGGAACATGATAAAAATCTCCCAAAGAAAGAAGTAAACATGCAAATGCATAATGACTGTTTATTAGTGATATTTATTATAAGTGATATATTAGAGGGATAGTAGCTAGTCAACGCCACCCACTGCCAACTCTGGGTGACCCTTTGCCAATAAAGAGTAGAATTGACCGTAACATTATAACGTCCCTACGGCTGAAAGGGCGATCATTTTCGTAACGATTTTCGCTTCCGCGATCCACAGATAGTGAATCGAGCGAACGAATCATCAGGCTATGCTAGAACAAAGGCATACTGGAACTAAATAGGAAACGTTTGAACTGATTATTGTACAAAATATGCATTTGCATTATTGTTATTGTCCCCCGGTTGGTCAGTAGAAAGTTTACAGATTTATAACGTAAAAATAGGATGTTCGATTCCCCGCAGTGGACAGAGAGCAGATAGCTCACTGTATATCTTTACGTTAAGAAAACAATAAAAACAACATTATTATTATCATTAATTTAAGTAACACTCAGTTCAGCTCAAAGTACTTTAATTATCATTGCATATATATATTTTATTAATAATGTATTTGCATAAATATTGGCGACATGACTCTGACAATTTATAAGCATGACCAAGTACTATACGAATGAAACAAACTATTGAATTTATTGTACATTACATTATTATTTTTAAATTCAGGAGAGGGTTGGCTGTCGAAAATGGCATTGAATGAGAATGAAGTTGATAATATTTATTATCCCATACTCTCCATCAGCCATGAACAATGAATGAGTCTAGCGAAACTGGAAGAGGTCCGGCATGGCCAGGTGGTTAGGGCGCTCGACTCGCAATCTGCGGGTCGCGTGTTCGAATCCCCGTCACACCAAACAACCTCGCCCTTTCAGCCGCGGGGGCGTTATAATGTGACGGTCAATCCCACTATTCGATGGTAAAAGAGTAGCCCAAGAGTTGGCGGTGGGTGGTGATGACTAGCTGCCTTCCGTCTAGTCTTACACTGCTAAATTAGGGACGGCTAGCGCAGATAGCCCTCGTGTAGCTTTGCGCAAAATCCATAACAAACAAACAAACGAAACTGGAAGGCTTTTAATAGATGTTGTAACTCGACACTATACATGTTCTACTTCTATGCCTCCTCTCTTTGTTTTAAAACACTAAGGAGAATCTTACATGTTTTCAATTTTTATAATGTTTCGACGTTATACTTCATAAAATAGCAGTAGCAGTTAGTATGAAATTAATTATGTTATTCTGAATTTAGAACGGTTACTATTTTCGCCCATCTTTCACCTGATTTCGGTTTGTTAAGTGTGAGGCTAAACTTCCTACACTGATTCCTGATAATAGGTGTTGTGATTTCATTCTTATAACACATTCTTGTACAGTAAGTTTATTTTGTTTTGATTTATCCTCATTGTTTTTGCATGTGCCAAGCAAACTAATACTTGTTTTTGTTCTGTTTGTGCAATACTTCAGAACACGTGTAAGTATATATTTATGTAACTTGTTTCATTGCTTCAACACTACTGACCACGTAAAGTATTTAGTAATGCTCTTGAGTGCGTGTTGTATAAGCGTATCTAAATTTAAGTCCAAATGGCCCTAAATCGATTATTGTCATAAAAAGTAAATTTAGCACAGAATATTTTCGTGTTTTATTATATTATAAATTAGTATATAGCGCTACTTTACTGTGAGTTATTAAACAACTAAAATGTAAGCATGTAGAAGAAATATTATCCCCGACAGGTAATGTTTAATCGTTTTTTTCTGAAGGTTTGAGTTGCAACTGTGTTGTTATTAGTAAGGTTGCATAGGTTATGACGTCCTTGTTACACCAATGAAACAACATCGTCATATTAATACTAATTATTATCTAGTAGGAAACTCTAAAATATGAAATTTGTTCAAAAAGGAAAATCACCACATAAAAATGTTATTTTATTCTATATACACTAATAAGTCTGATTCAATGAATGAACACAATAACACTAATAAAATGTTATAAGGCTTAGAGGTAAAATATTTATGTACGATTGCTATTAATGTTATGTCTGACGTAGTTTCAGTGTAATTATAATATATTTAACGTACTAAGTTACTGATGAAAAAAACACGTGCTTATTTTTACAAATAAAAACTTGTTAAAGTTCTCTTCAACTGATATATTGAGATTGTTTCTAACGCACATGTGTCAGTCATACAAGGACAAACAGAGAACGCTGTGAGTAAAACACTAAAAACAGCAAGGTATTTATACATTTCATCATTATGACTGAAATTTCCTAAAAACATCTAAAAGTAAAATGCTTTATAGCCAAAAAAAAAAAAAACTTCCCAGAGTTACTTAAGGTGGCACTAAAAGCAAAGGTTGCTCCAACAGTCAGGCTATTGAGATATTTTCGCATAAAATCAGTATACCTAGTACAACAGGGATGCAATAAAGACAAACTCGAAAGAAGATAAAAGTACAAAAGTCATTATATTAAAATGATTTTTAAGCCTCATCACTTCGTTACAGTCCATATTGCTGCTTCTTGTCCTACTCTATCTAACGACCGTATATCTTTAAAATAGCCCTTCAGCGTAGGTTCCATTGGAAAAGGCGCCAACTTAAGGTTGCCATGTCAAAACTCACACCACTACTTTCTGCGTGCTTTCCATAATCCATCTACTCTACGAAAATGGCAGTTTCCCACCGCCCGTGAACTGTTCGATCGCACAGAAATCCCTAGGCGTTGTGTCCATCGTTGTTACCGGTTTGTCTTCATTTGGAATAGCATGAATAGATGTTTTATTTTCCAGATGCTTCAGGTATGCTACAATGGAACGGATATGTCAGGGAAGCAACTCTTTAAACCTGACTTGTGTCGCTTTTCAAGATGAAAATCTTTACTGTTGCTTGGGGTACAAAGATGGCTTTTGCCTTTAACCTTTGTGCTCGTGGAGTCTCACCTGTTATAAGACGCCACACTTTGCTTACCACGTTTGGTTTAACTTGTTACATGCCTCTTTATAGATGGTCCATGCTCCAAGTTGCCACATCTTCCTATGTTTTCCAATGCCATTAATTACAACGGATTCAACCAA